TTTATCCACTGACCTCTGTAAACTGAAGAGATGTTGGGGTGACTGTCTGCTGACCAGGATGGAGATAAGAAAAATATCAAGTGGATCATGGAGGAAGTTTGTGTTGGGATGGGCAGGAAAGACCTTAAATGAGAAGACCTGGAGTGGTTGCCTGACACACAGGAGTGAGGGAAAGTTTTGCGACTGGCAAAAGATGCTGCAAAATTGGTGATAGCCGTGTACTGTCTTTGGGATTTTGGAAAACTGTGTGTATGTGGAAGGATACTAGGCAATGAGATACCTAATGACTGACCCCTAACAATGCCTCAGTAGCAGCTCCAACTAGAAACTACTTGACACCTCTAAATCCATATCCTTTCAACAGATACAGAAAAAGGTCTACCAAGAGTAAGGCCTTATTTATAACTCTATGGAGGCCATAAACTACTTATGTTCCAGGCCAGCAACAAACAATCTGGAGGTTAAAAGCATGGAACAGTTTTCTGCTGTTTCTACTTGCACTCCAGCCAGGATTAAGAGGAACCTAGGAAAAAGTGCAAGCAAAGTGGATGTGCATATGCATACCTTTGTATTTGGAAAAATAGTTATCTCCTCTGATACAAAGGGTGCAGAAGTCCCTTGTCTGGGATGACAATTGTTTCTGCGCCATAATCTTCATCTAGGAAATAATTATCAAAAAAGAATATACTTAAAATTACCAGTCAAAATCATCTTGCAAATCCTTAAGAATTAGGACATAAAATAGACTGTAGGAATACTTTCAAACAAACTTACTATGGCTAACTTAACTGAACCAAAAATAGTCATGAAAGTGAGTTGTATTAAAAAGTCTATGGTAAATTATATTATATCATTTACCATAATAAAACTTCCTTTCCTCCTTCATACTTTGCTTGCTATGAAATTCCCTTTGTGCAGGAAGTTATTACAAATGCTTTATATCACTGAAGTCCAAGGCAAGTCTTGATACAAGGCTCATGTACCCCTTAATATGCACTGAGCTTAAAAACTGGTTTTATGGCTTGTGTACCTTTTAAGTTCCACTTATGTGGTTTTTTTGGCAAAAGGGTAAATTTTACTGAGTAAATAATGAATTTACAAGTAAGTGATGTGACACTAAGCACAGAAACATTGTAAACAAGTCATAAAAGGCTGGCTAACCTTCAAAAGAGTAGGCCAGTGACTTATAACTGAGAGTACCTTAGGGAAGAAACAGTCTGCTGGCTTAGTTGTCTATGCAGTTTCCAATATAAATGGGTGCTGATTGTTTCACATGCAAACTTGGGGTGTTGTCCTGTAAATTGTTCCACCCCCCACAGGGGACTGTACAGGCTGTTCCCATTTTGTGCTCTGCAACTATTCATCAGGCATGTAGTAATGCTTTTTTCCAGTAAAACCAGCCCAGAGAAGGATTCTTGACTTTTATGGTGCTGGTGCAAGAGGAGCAGTGCCACTCAGACCTCCTACAGCCTTACAAAATCTCACAGCTGTCAAGAACCAAAGGGATTACTGGTAGGTTCCAATGATCTTGTCCAGAGGCTTTGAAGGCCTCAGCATGGTTTTTCTCCCTGGAGACCTAGAAAGAGCCCTCAGAAAGACAGGTCTTCTCTAGAAAGATAAATACTCTCCTGTTGCAGCTGATAGCTGGTTAGTGGCTGGCTCCACCTTCTGAGAAATTCTTCCTCACCTGTCCATAGGGTGTAGGGGAAGCACAGTGCCTGTGGGAGGCAGGCAGTTGAAGCCTTGTGTCCTGAGGTGAGTTCTGTTCCTTCCTACTGGTGTGCCTAGAAGAACTGGGAATGACCAAACTGGGCTGGCCTCCCTGATCCAACATACTGATAGAGCTGCCCTATCTGCAGCTGGTTTCTTCATAGTTTGCAGAGGGGTGGCCTGGCTTCACAAACAGGCCGTCTTTCCTTAGCCAAGCAGCCTTGTGCTTCCCTGCCTGCTAGTGTCATGGTCCCAGCACCCCTCTGTATAGTATGATGTATTATTGATTTATTCATACATTCAGATCAATAAATAATTAATACTAATATTTATTTATAGTATGGCCTTGCCTGTGAAGTACAGCTGGGGGAGGAACCAGTATTTTCAGCACCACACAAACATAAAATTAGACAGTCCTTGCACTGAATATCTTAAAAGCATTTGAAATCCTTAGTTCTGATCCTGCAAAGAGTGACACTGGGATTATGCACAGATTTAAATTTAAATGTGTATAAATCTGTATAGGACTGAAGCCTTGTTTGCAGCATTTATAGGTCAGAAGGGTGTTTCCTGGTTCTTAGTGTGTAGGTTAGGGGTGGGCAAACTGCAGCCCGTGGGCCAGATGTGGCTCACTAGTCCATTCTATCTGGCCTGCGGGGCCCCTAAAAATTTTAGAAAATTAATATTTATCTGCCCCAGGCTGCCTGTCATGTGGCCCTCAATGGCTTGTCAAAACTCAGTAAGCGGTCCTCCACCTGAAATAATTGCCTGCCCCTGGTGTAGGTGAACACCAGGCAAGGAAAACATTGTTTTGCTGATAGTGGGCATCAGTGACTAAAATAGCTGTTGGTTTAGTTAAGAACTGTCTGTCAGATTGAATGTTTAGCTGTGTTTTAACACATACTAATTAGGTTGTGTTAACTAACAATGACTGTTAGTTAGACATAACATAGACATGTACTTCTTTTTGTTCAATGTCTTCTTCAATGACTTGGAAGATGGCAGAGTGCAACCTCAGCAAGTTTGCAGATGACACAAAGCTGGGGAAATTAGTAGACATGCTGGAAGGTAGGGTTAGGATTTGGAGAGACGTAGACAAACTGGAGGAGTAGGCCAAAAGAAATTTTATGAGGTTCAACAAGGACAAGTGCAAAGTCCTGCACTTAGGATGGAACAATCCCATGCACCA